AAATAATTTTTGTCTCTTGCAGTTTTTCTGTAAAGTTGATAGTATTTGAGTAAAAAATTATTCGACCAATATTTTGCAATTTTTAGTAATTAATATTTTGTTAACTATTGCGAAAATTGCAAAATGGTAGAGAACTTTTCGACTCAGTTTAGTCCGCTCTATCTACACAAAAGTGATTGGCAAAAATGGTCGGAACATCCTGTGTATATGTATAGGTATACCTATTTTATTATTCATATTACATAATTATTTCATTCAATAACTTAAATATTAATATACGAGGCGAGTTAGTGAGGGAACAAAATAACAGATCACGTATATATGTATATAAACGTTTGATGAGAAAAGGTTCAGTTATTCTATGTCGCTTAAGATTTATTACGTTGCAATTCCTGATTCTACGTCGCTCATTTCAAAACTGCGTCACTTATTAAAAAAATTTCAACTAAGCACATTAACACAATTTTACAACAAAATTCATATTTTGCTGATGATTTAATCCTATACTGATTTATCAGTCAATTAATTAAAAAAAAATGTATGTATGTTTTTTAAGACTGGTTTGTTAATTGCAATTTTATCACGACCTTTTTGCGACATTCCTTCAATCAACCTTGATTATTATCTTACAGTTTTTGAATTTGTTTTCAATTGTTGTTTAAATTATCGAATATTAATTATAGGATTTTTATACATATATATATATATATATAAAGCGAGGAAACGGATCATCCTTTACTTTCTAAACAACTATTTTCTTGTAAAGCACTATTTATTATTCACTTATTTTTCTTGTTATTTTGTTCCAGTAATTTTTTGTGTAATCAGAGAATTTTTATTTAATATTTGAATATAAAATATGACATTGAGACAGCGAGTAAAGTCTAAGGTTTTTCAAATTTTTTTCCCAGTAGAGTTTAAATTTCAAATATATCAATTTATATAAAATTGTTGTGTAATTTTGTAGAAATCATTTATACGAAACTGTTTTTTTAATAAATAATTGCCTCTCTAAATAACAGAAAGTGTAACAGGTTTCCAAACAATATACATGCATGTCTAAAAGATGATGTAAAGACATAGATAATAAAAACATCTTTTGGGACATACATGCGTGCACGCGCCCTTAAAAGATATACAATAAAAAACAGCACAAAAATATCTTCTGGACACTGTGGTTGTCCGATATATGCATATACACGTGTTCATGAAGATGTTTCGGCTTATTGGCACAGATGCACAATGCTTTAAAGCGCGGAGTTACTTATGGCATTTTGAAGAAGACTGATGGTCAGTATAGTTTACCGATCGACAATGAGATCACACGGCAGGAGGTGGCTGCTCAGGAGATCGGTCTGTTGGACT